TGGTATAATAAATTTGAAATAAATCTATTCCGTGGCGAAGTTTTTATAAACTGTTACAAAGACTTGTTGTATAGAATCTAACATAGTGTCGTTTGTCATTTTATATATGGTGATATTTTATGGTGTCATTTTATATATGGTGACTTTCAGTGTCTAGTGGCTTTTATTTATGAAGCTACTGTTGCGGCACTAAATTTCAAAATTTGATAATTTCGTAAAGTATTTTTCCAGCCATACTTTGGTGTAGCTTCAAAGAAATGGTGCTAGAATTTGAATGAATTTCAAAGGCTCGGGGGATCTTGTTCGTTATTTGCTCGTTCTTTTTAGCAATAACTTGAGCAAATAGCCGTAATTTAGTTTTCGGCTAAGTTTCATCATAGTATACTTGTGCATTTGTTGGTATAGAAAAGTTCACGATCTTTAGTGAAGGCAATTATGAGTTGTTCGTCGGCAGTAGACGGAACCAATTCATTGAAAAACGTTCTGAATGTCAAAATAATGGATTAAAATTAATGACAACGTGTATGTAATGTATTAACAAAATTGGACAACGATCCAATTATTTAAGTTCTACCCATACCAGGGCAGATAAAGTGCAAAAGTGAATATTTAGAATCTGGCAGGTAGCAACAGATTGGATTCAGGGGTTCAGCTTGCAGAGGTACAAAAACTGCACAGTTCTTATGAAGGAAAGGTTAAAGGATTGAAGAAAATGCCCGATTCATGGTTTTTTTCTTATGTCTAGCTGTGTTATCCTACTTGATTATGATGTTTCGCTTCTTTTATTTTTTGTAATGCATAAGCTGAGCTCTTCTTTAACCATGAACATCTACTATCTTCTCTGACTGTTTGGGGTACCGTTGTTTTTTTTGAATACCATGACAGTCTATTGTTCTGTTCTGGCACTTAAAGTTCCTCTGAAGCTATGTGTGTTCTTTTCTGACATCAATATTCGTAATATTATGGTTAGAGTAATTTTTTCGTGCGTTGGCAGTCATACTGACAAAATGGCGTAAAACACTATCATTTATATGCAGCGCAAAAGATACTGTAGTCAGTCCTGTGATTACCCAAACGTCGATATTGGTCAGTCACTACTAATCATTGTATTTTTTTTGCGTGGTGTATAAATAAACCGTGTTTAACGCTATTTTCCGATATTTTGGTTGTGTTCCATAACTGTTTTCGTTAAAAGTTTCCACAGTGTAGTTTAAATCCAATTTATATATGAATTTAACCGTAAATGCGGATAACAGTTCAAAACATTTTTAGACATCGCGTTATCCCAAAGAGAATTAACGTCAGAGTTGAGCATGTGAAGCCAAGCAAGTGCCGAGACGACTTCCTTAAGCGAGTCAAACGTAACGCTGAGCTCAGAAAAATTTCCAAGGAGACAGGACAGAGATTCTGTTTGAAACGAAAGGTAAAGTGGTTAAAGAGTATTGTTTTGCACCTTCCTTTCTTGTTTAGTATTTGAGCATTTGGAGAACAACCCTATGCTTGTTCTTTCAACAGTTATATTCACTAAGGCGACATCTGAGTTGATAAGGCTCATCTGTATCATTCAGGATCTTCTACAGTTGCATTAAAAGTTTATATTTTTGTTTTACTTCTTTCCGCCTGACAGAAAAGCAGTTCTTGTCGATCTCTTTCAGTTATATGTATTTTCTGATGGATTAGACTCGGTTCTAGTTTACTTGATGAAACTCTCTTGCCTCCTTGACATTTTTGTTCCGTTCTTCTCATAAATGTAATTTTGTCATTTGTTGTGAATTTAAACAAGGAATTAAATATAACTTACTCTCATAGACACAGTTGACATTCCATAATGTAATGATTCATATACTCTTCCCATCCAACTTTTGGTACAAATTTTCTGTTGGTAGTTAAAAATGTCTGTTTTAGCCTGCCGAACCACCCTTGGCTCATTTCATTCATCGTGTCAAGAAGCACCCGCCAAAGATGTTGGAAGTATTGCCCTACCAATATCTGATCTGAAGTTGAACTAGCTGAATAAAATTGTTAATCGATGAATTTTATCGAAAATCGGATCTTTTGCATTGCTGTACCTGCCTTCAAAATGTTACGAAAAACATTTCTATATACTTAACAATTTAGAGCCGGTTTGTTGAGTAGAGTTCGGCGCTGTCCACTTTGCTGCGAATCTGAATTAAGCCTTGAATTTTGATTTTAACTTCTTCAAGCTAAAAGAACTGTTCTGAAACCGATTGTTTAATTCATGCGTGAGTTTACCGTTTAACAATGTGTAGGAGTACAAACTACTTCTAACAGCAATACGCTATTGCGGTATGTTCTGGAGTCGGTGCCGCAGTCGGATAGGTTTGTTTCGAACTTCAGAAATGCTGGCTTCGTGCCCTGAGCCAGGAAAAGTTTATCGCTTAAACGCTGAGTTTCGCCGTAGGTTATTTAGCGCGGCTAGCCGAGAAGCGGGTAAAAAGTTAGTGGCTTGTGAACAGCAAGCACCACATGCAGTTTTGGTGTGGTCACAGCAGAGTAGACAAGTGGTGCGAGCGCCCTTAGAGATTCAGTTCACATTCACCTACTTGATAGTCGATTTTCCAATGTTATAATCAACAAAAGGTTGCATTTAATCAATGATACGGGGTATGAGTATATGAAGAGAAACATACATAAACTTTACTGTTGGTAGATTTCTTTGTTAAATTAGAAGATACAGTTTTGTAAGTGTTAATTGGTAGATTTAGCAGTAGTTCATCGATTGCAGCCGAGAGGCCAGCACTCGCTCTGTGCTGTTGGTTAAGCAGATTCTCGGGAGAAGAACGACGAGGGTAATCCAGTTCGCGCTGAGTTTTTATCGTTTCTCATGATTGACATTGCCGCTGGAATTAATGATTAATGCCTCCATGACGCGCCTGTTAAATTTTTTTGACAGTTCCGTGCCAGTGCTCTCTGAACATGTGGGAAATATCTTACCTTTGTAGCGTAAATGATTTGTTACGATTATGACGTGTTGCTGATTTGGCAGTGGCTTCGTCCATGGAGCAATATACTGAATAACAGCATCTGTGATTTGTTACGAGTTGCCGTTAGGCTTTCCAGACTATTTATATAAGGCACCCGTTACTGCATCGTTCGATGAACAGTTCTTCTTTTAACGTAGAGCTACTTATATCTTGCCCATCTATGCTGTCTGTTGGTCTACTGGCTAGCGCTGTTGTGTTGCAGTTCTAACGTGAGAAGCCCGAGGACTTGTGCATAGGCTAAATGTTAAAACTTTTTTGTTTCTGGCAGAGCCAACCTACTTTTTCTTATCGTTGCATATAGTGAAGATGCACGTGGTTAGGGTGGAATAATCATTTTATACATATCTGTCATGTATACACTGCTCAATCGTCTGTCTGTCAGTTGCGGTTTTAGCGTATTTTTTTATCGTGACCATCACTCCAGCTGCTTGCCATAAGCGTAAAGTCTACTTTTTGATGTGCGTTACATTCGCAGCTTTCCAATACCTTTGATATTCACCGCTTATTGAATCATAGAAGATTGTTGTATTACGTAATGTCTGTCATCTATAAGTAAGAGAAACAGACATCTGGAAATTTGACAAGTTTTCTAGTTTGTTTCTTTATTTCGCTAAGTTAAAACTAGCTTCACCTCATATTCTGTATCCAAACTATATTTGATATTGTACAGTATCAGACATGTTTCTGGCGTTGTGCTAGGTCCCCTTTCTCCTTATGCCTAAGGGACTACGAATGAATGCGACGGTTTCTTGGCATTCTAGCGGCTACAGTCCACAAATGCTTATGGTTTCACTTTACTGACTACGGTACTATATTCTATGTACCAATGATGTTGCGTACGTACCCCAAACAAATATTTCTTAAGTTTTACATATACGCATCGGGAGCGCATGGGTAATACAGTAATAACGAGCTATAGTTTTATTGCAAATGAGTTAATGCAGGATGCATATTAAATCCAGAAATATGTCGAAGGTTTGGTCTGCTTAAAGATTCGTTTGAAAGCAAGGGTGCCATAATACATTTTAGCGGAGTTGCGCGCTTATTAACATACTCCTCGCTAACGAGCGCATCGATTTTGTGCTAAATGACAATGGTTTCAAAGTAAATCATGCAAAAAGATTCGTCAGTGGACGCGATGGTACGGGGGCTCAAGTGCAAGAAGCGATTTCAGTCAAACGATGGCTTTAAGTTATATATTTGAGTTAATTGTTTTTAAATTAGTTTTGTAATTTGGTCTTCATCTTCATCTTCCATCGCCGCTTCTCCTTTCGGGTCGCGGAGGCAGACGCGTCAGACAGTGCT